TGTTGGTGTTGGAAGAACTTGGCACCATATTCCCAGGGGAACGAGGGGTCCTGAGTTCTTTTCCTGTGCGACTGGTGAAAGTGGTTTTGAGAACAACCCGTGACCTATTATGGTGGTGGGCTGGACTACTGTGTAGGTGAGGTGCTGTGGCAATTCAGTGGCCAGTGGGGGGGTGGGGCTCAGAGGGTGGGCTGAGGCCAGCGAAACCAGTAGAGCCAGTTTTGGGCTTGACCTGTGGCTTTCAGCTGCTGTTGGCTTCTCCTGTTTTGTTATGTTAAAATCCTAGGCTGTGCTCTGGGGAACTGAGTTCTGCCGTGTTAATGATATGCTAATGGTCCAGGTTTCTGGTGACTTACATTCAAAGTTACATAAAGGAACACAGCCTGGGATTGAAAGCATTATTAACTTTTTTATATATATAATGGGCCTGTGGTGCTTCACTGTCCCACACGGAAGGGGCACCAGATTAGCTGAGTGGGTTTGGGGCCGGCTGGATCTGAATTCTCCCCTGGCTGCACTCCTGTGCCAATCCCAGCTCTTTACTGCACAGCTCTGTAGGCTGTACTCCAGGGATTTGAGTTCTATCACTGTTAAATATCCCAGGGGCTCTTCAATTGCTGCAAATTAGTGTCTAATTACCTACGCTGGCAGATGTGGAGCTGGGGAAAGGGGAAAGGGGATGGCCCATGTAGTCACTGTTCCTGGTTGGGGAGGGGAGAGGCAAAGCTGGGGAATGCAGGAGCCAGAAAGATAGAAGAGAGGGGGAAATCCGGTGTGAGGTCTTGTGGCTAGTTCTCAGAAACTCTCTGTGAGCCTGGGATTATGACCATCTTTAGACAGCAGCCTGGGAAACTTACTCTTCACTGGGGGTCTCAGATTTGGGGCACAAGAAGGGGTGGCAGATGCCATCCTGCTGGACTTGGTGAGGGATTAGTGGAGTCCTCAGGCAGACACAGTGACCTTAGAGCGTTTCAGTTAGTTCTCAAATCGCTCCCTCAGTGAAAATCGCAGGGGCAGGTCTGACCCTGACTCTAGTACACTGAATCTATTTTTAGCACTCAGCTTCCCAATATTGGCCTCCTTACCTCTTAATTTTCTGATCTAACAACAGGAGAACTGCGCAGATGATTCTACCTAGACGCCTTCTTGCAATTGTTGTTATTTTTGAGCCCATTGTTGTAGCCACTGTGTCACCTCATCTTGGCGAAGGTCTTCCTCATTTTCACTGCCTCACTCACTTGATTCTCTCCTGTCCCACTATCATGCTCAGTCCCCACCAGGATTTCAGCACTTCCTCTTTGTTACGTTCCCCTTGATCATGCCCTACCAGATACCTTCATTTTTAACACAAGCAAACACACACACATACATCCATATTGTCACCCTTTTCAAAGAAATGATAGCATACTGTTCACACTCTTCTGCACCTTGATGTTTTTCAGTTAATGTTTTTCAGTTTATTAAAAATTAAATGGAATTATGTGAAGGGAACAACAACAAGCATTGTTCGTATTGATGGGCTTTAGATGGGAGCCTGCATAGTTCCCTGGCGGTTTCAGGTGGGAAGGCAGAGCATGTGGGTGAAGATGTTGGCATGTGGGTGTGTGTGGGACGAGAATCTGTAGATGCTTTTGTTATTTGCTGAGGCAGCATTAGGAAGAGGTAGCGGTGGACTGAGTTGAGAAGAATCGGGATGAAAACCCACCTGGTTCTGGAGGAAAGGGAGTAAGCTCAGGGCATAGCGAACGAATGAGGAGCCGCTCGAGGTTAGTTCCATCTCCTGGGGAAGTCCTCTACGCTGAAATCAAATAAAGTATACTTACCTAAGGAAAACATCTGCTTGAAATTGGTCTTATTTTTTACCTTAGCATGTGATGTGCCTTAGAGCACATCCTGTATCACACTAGACCAAGGTGAGTGAGATCAATGGCACTAATCTTCTCATTCTAAACAATGGTGTTGTGTGTGTGTGTGTGTGTGTGTGTGTGTGTGTTTTAACCAATGTTGGAATAATTACATAAACCCATTTGCTTGGCAAGCAGCAAACATCTAGGTTTGGGGCTAGCTTGGTTTTGCTTTCATCGAATCACCCATCTGTTCCCATCAATGACTGCTTTGAGTTCTTGACAAGACAACAGACACAGACAGCTAAAAGACATAAGACTTCAGCCATCTATGAAGTACATCTGTTAGGAGTCTGTGATTGTTAGTTATTTGTTACATGGTAGGGGCTTGTGTCTTCTCATGATCTGGAAGGTATGCCACCATATTTCAAGTACCCACAAGGTCACCCGTAGTAGACAGGTGTCAGCAGGGCTTTCAGACTAAGTGCCAGCTAGGAAGAAGGAAGAAATGACCTGCTTCTAAAAGCTTAGCCACTGAAAACCCCCTCAATAGTCGTGGAACATGGTCTGGTATGTGCCACACGAGGAGCCCCAGGTGGGACAGCTCCTACCGTACGACCTGAGAAAAGCTCCTCCTCCAGGCAGAGCCAACCTCAACGCTGACGTCGGTGGAGCAGATCTTTCTGGGACCTTCCTTTGCTGATGGGCACAACTCAAAATGAGGTGAAACTGCTCTAAATATCCATTAATAATTAGAACTTGGAATTACAAAGCATGACTCTAAGAACATTGGAAGCCATCAAAAGTTAAATAGAGGCATAAATCAATATACTATGCATTAGTGAGCTGAAATTGACTGATATTTTCCATTTTGAAATAGACAATCATATTATGCCGGGGAAGACAAATCGAAGAGTAATGACATCACATTCGAGGAGCCCTGGTGGGGTCGTGGTTATGCATTTGGTTTCTAATTGCAAGGTCAGCAGTTTGAAACCACTAGCTGCTCCATGGGAGATTAGGCTCTCTACTCCCATAAAGAATTACAGTCTCAGAAACCCACAGGGACAGCACTGCCCTGCCCCATAGGGTCACTATGAGTCAGAACCAACTGACTAGCCGTGACTTAGAGTTCTAAGTGGCAATCTCATAAAAGAACATGTCAAGATCTACACTGATGCACAATGCTGTCAGTGATAGGGCATCTGCCCACCTACAAGGAAGGCCAGTGAATACAAATGTCATTCAAATGTGCACCTCAACCACCAACGCCGAAAATGAATAAACTGGAGAATTCTACCAACTTCCGTAGCCAGACCTGATGCGCTGTGGAATGACATGAAAAGCATCATAAGTGAAGAAACAAAAGGTCATTAAAAGGACAGGTACGAAAGAAAGGAGCCCTGTGGCTATCCAGGGACTGGAATTTGCTCTTGACCAAAAAGTAGCCAAGACAAACAGAAGACGGGCTGACATGACAGACCTGAACAGAACATTCCAAAGGGCAGCTGGAGAAGGCACAGTGAACTATTAGAATGAAATGTGCAGAGATCTAGAGTTAGAAAGTCAAAAGGAGTAACACACTCAGCAGGTCTTAAATTGGAAGCATCGTAGTTCTACCTCCCTGAGACCAAAAAACTAGATGGTGCCCGGCTACCACGTGGACAGCTCTGATGATCACTGTGGAGCATCCTAGACAGAGCAAGAACAAAATGTTAAATAATATTTAACATTCTGATCTGACGAAGACTGGTGGGACCCTGAGACTATGGCTCTTATAAGCCCCTAAATCTGGAACTGAACCCACCCCAGGAATCATCTGTCAGCCACTTAGACCTATAGAGTGAACAATAACACCCTGGAGGGTGTGCGCCTCAGAATAATCAGTAATTGGAGACCAAAACAAAGCTCAGACAGCAGGAAGGGTCAGAAAGAAGGGTGAAAGGAAACAGGGAATGTAGAGAAGAAGTGGGAAGCGTGCTGTTACATAGAGGGGATTGCCACTAATGTCTGGAAATTTTTTTTAAAAGTGCAAATTGTTGAATGGAAAATGTATTTGCTCTGTAGGCTTCCCCTCCCCAACCACAGTGTAAAAACTGTTACCCGGTAAGTAGAAAAGTATTTAACTTTGTTAAAAGACAAACATAAAACAAAATCATTTTCTTTTTCTCCCTCTCTCCAAACTCACACGCATGTGCACGTGCACACGTGCTCACACATGTGGATACATGCACACATGCACAAAATGCTCAGAAAAGTTTTGAAAGGAATGCACCAAACCAACGATAGTGATAATCTCAGTAGAGGAAAAGGAAAATAAGAAGGGCTGGTGTGGAAAGAACTTTTTTTTTAATTCAATAAAGCTCTGCACAGATTTACGTAGTTTGCAAAGAAGCTAGCTATATTTATTTGCTATGGCATTTTAATAAGTAGTTAGATGCTATGCATACTGGTGAAAAGAGTGAGGGAGACAGGCATGGAGAGCCATGGAGACCACAGGAGAGTCAGAAAGAGCAGGACCCCAGGCCAGGGCATAGACCTCCACCCCCTCATTCTTTCTACCAAGCCCTGTGGGCTCCTCACTGCACAGCAGAGGTAGTGTATCACGCTCATGGTTTTTAAGTAAGAGCTTTTATGTAGTGAGTGCTTTCTATGTGGCAGGCCCTGAGCTGAAGAACTTGAGCCTTCTTGTTAGCCCCTCGAGATAGGTAGTTTTGCTATACCCATTTTATAGGGGACATAGCTGGAAAGACTCAGGGCTCAGTCATTAGATGAAGTATCAGACTGGAGCCTGGCCCCAGATCCCACCTTTGTCACTTATGTGATTCGGGGTGAGTCACTTTATTGCTCTAGATACTTTTCTGCAACTGTGTAATAGTAGGATCGAGTCTGACCCTGCCTGTCTTTCCTGGCTGATGTGAGGACCAGATGGGGAAACAGAAATAAACATGTTTCACTGGTGGAAAACTTCTGCTGCCCGTGAGGGCTGTTAACAAAGCTGTTCTCATTATCAGCAGCTCCCTAGGCGAAGCGCACATCCAGCCCCACCTAGGAAGCTGTTCTCACTTGCTGGTGGATGTAGGGTCCCAAAGGAGCGTCAACTTCAGGGAGAGGGTCCCAGGAGGCCTGGCTGTATAAAGGGGCTGTAAGGTTTAATGGGCTACAGCTCTGCTCCTACCTAGCTCTTCCCACCAAGGCCAAGTGTAGTGACTCCACAGAAAACACAAAGGTGGACCAGACCCGGCAGGTGAGGTGGGCTGGGGATGCAGTCAGTCCTTCGAATGAAGTAAAGGCTGGGGTGTAGAGATAGGCTCAGAGGTGCCTGGGCCATGCAGAGTCATGGTGGAGTGGGGTGGAGGTGGGGGCTGGGAAGATAGAACTGATATGTGAATGGCAGGGTTCCAGCATCCAGGTTAGTCACTTGTGCGTACCTGGTGTGTGTGACATTGGGGCCAACATCCTAGCAAGCCTGGGCAGACATGCACAGTCAAAAGCAAGAAGCAAATGACCTTGGAAGAGAGTTTCTCACAAGGAGGCAAGACTGATGACAGTAAGTGGAGAGGAAACATTTAATGAGGCTGCTGTAATGCTGCTACGAGTCCCAGATGGGATGACTGCAGTTGGGAGCGGAGGGATTTGCCCAAGATGGAAGGTGGTAGAGTCAGGGTGGGAACCCAGGTCTTTATGACTGTAGGTTCATAGACTTAAACTTTATGCTTCACATGTATCCCGGCTCCTTTCCTAAGGGAAGATGCCAAACCCAAACAAACAAACCACCGCCCGGCCATTGCGTTGATTGCAACACACAGCGACCTTACCGACCAAAGAGAACTGCGCTCTAAGGTTTCTGAGGCAGGTGCCTTCATTGTTTTCCCTCAGAGTGGCTGGTGGGCTTGAACCATAGACCTCACAGTTAGCAGCCCAACATGTAACCCAACAGGGCAAATTGGTGGAAATAGGATGACAAGAATCGTGCAGATGGAGGTTCTAATGAAGCTTGCATGACGCAATGAATTTAAGGAACCAAGCTGGCAATGATAATATGGTTCAATAAATGGGAGAGTCCTTGTTCTCTCTTCTCAGAGTACCGATCATGTGACTTCCATCTTGAGCCACTCATGGTTCAACACAGAGGGGACACTATAGACCATCTCTGGATCTGGAGTAAATCCAAAGCTTTAATTATACAGATGGCCAAACGGAGTCTCAAAGGTCCAAAGTCACACAAAAAGCAAATGGCAGGGCTGGTCCCAGGGCCAGGTGACTTGGGTCCTAGGCTGGGGCTCAGACAGGTCTGCTCTCACGCACCACATACCAGTTTTCTGTGACCCTCAACTTCATGTGTTGCTGGGCGTGGCCACATCCTGGCAATGTTGTATGATGGGATGAGGTACAGAAAGCTCAACAACAGGTTGGATATATGCGTTATTGATTTTTCTGCCCTTCTTTCTCCCCCACCGGAGCTCCGATAGTGCTGTCGGGTAAGTATTGGACTGCTGACCACAAAGTGGGTGGTTCAAACCCACCACCAGCGCTGAGGCAGAAAGATGAGGCTGTCTGCTACTTGGAGACCGTATCTAGTGTTGCTTGAGTCCGAATTGACTCCGTAACCGGGGCTTTCTCCCTCACCGGCTCTGGAACTGCCATGTAGGTAAATCCAACAGGGAGAAGGGTGTAAGGAAAAGGATGACTGGGCAAGACTCTCCGTGGATACCCTAAGTATTGAAAGATGACGTAATTCAAAATAAAATCAACTCTTCTGAGCCACAAAATAAATGTAAAGAAGCCCAAATTAGTGTTTTCTTCCTCATGAAGCTACCTACTTTCAATGCTTTCAAAACTCTCTTAAAAATGCTTTCGGGGGAGGGAGAGGGAGGAAAAGAGGAGCTGATACCAAGGGCTCAAGTAGAAAGAAAATGTTTTGAAAAAGGATGATGGCAACATATGTATAAATGTGCTTGATACAATGGGGGGACGGATTGTTATAAGCTGTAAGGGCCCCCAATAAAATGATTTATATTAAAAAAATAAATGAAAATTCTTTCAAAAGATGAAATTCTAAGTTTTTCAGGGGCATTTTATTGGTTCTTATTTGCTGGTGCCCTGCGCCATGCTCTATTTGTTGTAGTGATTGTTAGTTGCCATCAAAAAAATGCCAACTCGGGTGGGACATGGCTCATTGCCTTTGGGGGGAGCACAAGAGTCTCAACTGATCTGTCCTGTGGTCCCCAGGTCAGTGAGACAGTCTGGGGTGGTCCTGTGTTATGTTTGGCTCAAGGTAAGTGGGTACACTGGCCCCACTGAAGGTTCAGTTTCCAATTGTGGGTCTGTCATTTACTGCGTGGCCTGGGGCCACGTTCCATTTCTGAATCTCCCTACTGCATCCCCGCCTGCATGATAAAAAGATGATAGGAGAGCGAAGATGATAACGGAGGCTGCTGCCTCGCAGCGTTCTGATTCAGCAGCACTGAACTGCCAGGAGGCTGGTGGAGTAAGGCTTGGTCAAAGAAACAGCTATCCGGCCTCATAAGGCCCAATAGTGCTCCCAAGACACCCACAGCAGGGCACCAGTGTGGTCATAGGAATGCTTTATTGTCTCTCCGGTCATTTTTATCACGAGCTGAGCTGTTTGTAATAGCTAAGTAGAGGCCTAGGTCCTATATTTCATTAGGTAGACTTCTCCTTTCCCTCTGTTAGTTAGGGTGAAGAGCCGGTCAAGGCTTGAGTTATGTAAGGGCTGCCGGTTCAGTAATACTTTGCATACCTTTGAATCGACTCTGTTCTTCAGGTGTATCCCTCCTGGGCTTTGGACTGATAGCCGATGGATCATGGACTCCTCCGCCCTGAAGGGGGGGGGGAGATTTGCTTCTAGCCTCGAGAGGTTTTGAAGTTCGGTCTTCAGCACACGCGTTCGGAGGACTATCGCGGAGGGCAGTCAATGAGTGTCCGAGGCAGACTCTCTTTCTAGTCTCATCAGCACCGGGGATCACAGGACACTTTAGTCCGCCTTTTAGAAGCCCTCAGGCTAGCTCCCAGTCTCCTAGAGGTAGTCCCAGAATTCAGAAGCTATCCCATGGGGAAAACTTGTCCTGCAGTTAAGACCCCTCAAGTTCTTGATGGGTTTTGCAAACATCTTTTGACATCCTGAAGCCTCAGTGGCTTCTCTTTCTCTCACCCAAGTTCCTCTGCCTGGGCCAAGTCCAACCCACTGGGTGGTTCCCCAAATCAGCAAACATTCTTAGAGTAGGAAAGAGCTGGCCATTGTCAACTCATGTCAGAGGACTCCCCTACACAGGCATTCCAATGAGTCTCCCCCTTATTGCTCTCATAGTTCTCCAATTTCTTTTAACACCTGACTTGGGTCATTTTTCTTCCAGATTCTCCTAGCGGCGGCCATGTCCTGTTATATCTTATTCTGGAGCGAGAGTCCAGACATGTCGTTTAAATAGAGTCCAGAGGAGCCACAGCGGATGCAGGCACGCGGGAGAATAAGAAGACTGAGACGTAGGTGAGCGAGCTGTCGCAGGCTGCAGCGGCCCTGGGAGAAAGCAGCCCTTCCCGACAAAGTAGAGATCAGGGCTTAGGGACTCGGTCTGCAGAATCTGCCGTTGCCAAGCAGACCGTGTGGGACCAGCTGAAGTTCTCCGTGGCACTGGTTCCAGTCCCAATTCCATAATCACAACAAACGGTTTCCATCTGGTTTTCCCAGTAAAAACGTAAAGTCAAAGGAGAACAAGCTGACTGCCTGCCTGAATCACCCACCGCCGAGTCCCAGTCTGTAAGAGGCCGTTCCACTTGACAGAAGCGGAAGAGGAGGGAGTGGAGGGTCGAGTGGTGACGGCAGTATCACAGTCTCTTCTCAGGCCTCCAGAGACGCTGGTAGGTAATGATGGTTCTGTTAATTATTCAGTAGTCCCTGGTATTGAATTCTCATTCCCCAAATCCTTGGAATTCCAGGTGTTCCTAGTGCCCACACCTCCCAGCCTCCCACCTCCCAGAAATCCAGCTCTGTCTCGCCGTGGAGACCACAAACTGTAACGGATCAGTGGATGCCTCACCAGTTTTCTACCTGGTGGGCATCCCTTCTCTGCCAGAGTCCTTCTTCCTCCCCGTGTTTTTTATTTTTCTCCTCTTCTACCTGCTCATCCTCATGGGTAATGCCCTCATCCTGGTGGCTGTGGTGGCCGAGCCCAGCCTGCACAAGCCCATGTACTTCTTCCTGCTCAACCTCTCCACCCTGGACATCCTCTTCACCACAACCACTGTCCCCAAGATGCTGTCCCTATTCCTGCTTGGGGACCACTTCCTCAGCTTCCCCGCCTGCTTACTGCAGATGTACCTCTTTCAAAGCTTTACCTGCTCAGAGGCCTTCATCCTGGTGGTCATGGCCTACGACCGCTATGTGGCCATCTGCCGCCCACTGCACTATCCTGTCCACATGACTCCACAGACCAATGCTGCGCTGGCAGCCAGTGCCTGGCTCACCGCCCTCCTCCTGCCTGTTCCAGCTGTCGTGAAAACATCCCAGATGGCATATAACAGCATTGCCCACATTTACCACTGTTTCTGCGACCACCTGTCTCTGGTCCAGGCCTCCTGCTCTGACACCACCCCCCAGACCCTCATGGGCTTCTGCATTGCCATGGTGGTGTCTTTCCTGCCCCTCCTCCTGGTGCTCCTCTCCTACGCCCGCATCCTGGCCTCGGTCCTTCGCATCAAGTCCCGAGAAGGGCGCTCGAAAGCCTTCTCCACCTGCAGCTCCCACCTCCTGGTGGTGGGCACCTACTACTCGTCCATTGCCATAGCCTACGTGGCCTACAGGGCCGAGCTGCCCCTCGACTTCCACATCATGGGCAATGTTGCGTATGCCATTCTCACCCCTATCCTCAACCCCCTCATCTACACCCTGCGGAACAAGGATGTCAAAGCTGCCATCACCAAAATTATATATTTTAAGACTCAGGCTGGGATAGGAGCTGTTGCCTAGAGATGCAAATAATTATGCACCTAAGCCATCAATTGACATGCCTAGCAGAATAAGCGCTCAATAAAACTTTGAATGGATTAATTAATTGATACCGAAGTGTTCGAAAATTCAGTTAGGCAGATAATTACAGTGTCATCCCTATCCTTGGGCCAGTTTTCCCACAGGTTCAAGGGAATAGCGCCAAGACTCTAAAGCAAAGTGTGTGGAAAATTCCTATTCAGTAATACCAGAAATCTTTACTTTACAAAAACATCTGCTTGACACACACACACAAAAAGCTCTAGAAGCCAAATCAAAGCAGGAATGAAAAACTTGTTTCACAGGGAAAGGATAAATATGTCTAATATATACTAATTTAGAAGGGAAAAAACTAACATCCCAACACAGAAATCAGCAAAATATGTGACTAGCAGGAAGCAGTAGCCCTTAAAGAGCGAGAAGTGCCCAGGCTCCTTACACCCGAGAACAAATGAGAGGTCACCGCGTGTCCTTCTCATCTAACCCACGGGCAAGACTTCAGTCATTCAGGTGGGGAAGCGGGATACGTATCACCTGCTTGTGAGGGGCGCATGGACTCATTACATATGCGATTGAGACCCCCAAATACAGTCATCTAGCCCTCGACTCAGGAATTTTACCTCCAGAAATCTATCCCAAAGCCACACTGATAATCATTCACTAGGCGATTATCCACCCATCCACAGGAGGCTGCTTGAATAAAGTATAAAATACAGCTATTAAAGGGTATGAAGGAAGCTCATGATAGATTGGTATGTCATCAGAGCTAGCATATGCTGTAAGAGCTTGCTGAGAAAGCTGCAGAACACTGGTTTTGTAAGAAAACAGATCACTTGCTTAAACTCTCAGAAAAAAAATAGAAAGATCTTTAAAATACAGGAATACTTTAAAATGTAAGAAGGATCATACTCCCAAATTTATAGGGGAGAGAGAAAAGGAGGCAGAAGAGACAGAGATAGAAGCAAGATTAATTGGAACGTAATTCTGACTTTAGATGTAAGGACATTTTTTACATAATTAAAAGAAATCATGAAAGAAAAAAACAACAAAATAAAACAAAAAACCAGCTCCACAACTCCTCTAAATTGAAAATCAACAAGAATGCTTGTCTATCAGAAAGATATTTTAAACACCATTGGGGAGTCTTTTTAAAAACATATTTGTTTTACTTCTGTAACATGAATGAGATGTAAATTACACATTTCCATAACCAGAGTCGTTTTAAAACATTCATGCTGTGGTTTCCCCCCATTCACGGTGCATTCAGTGGTCATGGCTCCTTACCTGCCTGGCAGTTTCTTGGTCTTTCCTCGTCTTTCCTGACTTGACACTTCTGAAGAGTATGGGTATTTTCGCCAGGTAATTGGTGGGAAGTCCTCCATGTGAGGTCTCTGGTCTTTCTTAGCCTTATGTTTTCCTGCTCTTTAGTTTTCTTAGGTTCAATTCACTGATCTTTTTCTATATTCTTGAGGGGACAAAATATAGATTGTTAATGGTCAAATTTTACTCTCACCATTCTATAAATATCCCTCTAAATACTGCAGTAGCTGTATCACACAAGTTTTGGGTTTTATTTTTATTCACTTATTTCAAAATATTTTTCAAATTCCCTTTGTAATTCCTTTCTTAATCCTATGAACTATTTATTGTGTTGCTTTATTTCTAAACACACAGATTTCTATAACTATCTTCTTCTAATGTCTAGTTCAATTCCACTGGGGTGAGATAAAATCCATAATGTGAGTTTAATGCTCTCACAATTGTTGGGATTTATTGAAGATGCAGCCTAAGAGCTATTTTTGGTAAATCAGTCATGTGCATTTGGGGAAAAAAAGTATTGTGCAATATTGAAGCCTGGTGCTCCATAAATGTCAATTAGGTCAGATGTATAAACTGCTGTTCAGATTTTCAATATCTTTGCTGGTATTTTTGTCTGCTCATTCTTTTATGAACCAGGTGTGTTAAAATTCACAATATGGTTGTGGATTTGTTTTACCTCTCCTTTTAGTTCTATGAAACGTTCATTGCATAATTTGAAGCTATAGTGTTAGCTCTTTACAGGTTTAGGATTATTTACTTGACTTTTTATTACTCGAGTTATGAAATTCCTTCATCCATTTCTTCCCTAAAGTCTCTTTTATCGTTCTAGTTATTCTTCTTCTGCTAGATCTTTTTTCATTATTTTTATTTCTAACTTTTTGAATCCTTACAGTAATTTTTTCTCTTTCACCAACAGTATACCTTGAATTTGTTGCAGACAATCTAAATGAGTACTTTAGCCATTTACCAAATCATGCACGGTCCCTAAAACAGTTTCATGCTTTTACATGCCTCCTACCTTTGGGGCTATTGTTGCCACACTGCTGTCTTTGATACGCTTTGTGTACCCTGCAAGACCTCGTTCTGACTGCTACTTTAACTATTTGATGTTTACACATCTACCCTGCCCCGTGTGCTCGGAATTCTTTGTGTACACTCAGGTTCCCATCGGATGTCCTTTCCTCCAGACTGAAAAGGCCCCTGAGTCTTGTTTGTGGTCCAGATCTGCAATTGACAAATTCTCTCCGTTTTTGGTTTGTCTGAATGAGTCTTTATCTTACCTTCTTCTCCTCCTCTAGATATTGTTTTTTTTAAACCCCCTTTATTGAGGTATAATATCCAAACAATAAAATGCACCTATTTTAAGTGTACAATTGGATGACTCAATGCACAAATCTACCAAGGAATCCACCACTCAACAATAAGCAGACGATCTTCATCAACCCAGCTCCTTTGTACCCTTCCCAGTCCATCTCCTGATGGCTGTGTGCACGGATGACCTCGAACTGATTTCTAGTGGGGTCATAGGTGTACATTCTTTTGTGCCTGGTTTCTGCTTAAGATGAGTTTAAACTATAACTGTGTTGCTACATGGTAGTACACGCCTTTCTTATTGCTGGAATTATTCCATGTGTGGCTACAATGAGTACATATTAATTCACCAGCTGATGGGCACAGATTGTTTCCAGTTTGGGGATATTTACAAATAAAGTTTCCCAAAGTATTTTTGTACACACTCTTAAGCCTGAAGCTAGGCTTCCATTTCTTTGGGGTAAGGAATTACGAAGGCGGTTTCTGGGACACGTAGTGAGGATCTGTTTGGTCTTAGAAGTGACTCTGCAGCTCAACCCCAATCGGGCTGTCCTCCGCTCCGCCCCAATCAGCCCAGGGCTGCACCTCCTCTCCGTCACTGGTACAAATGCGCTTTACACAATTGATGTATGTATGGATTGTGATAAGAGTTGTATGAACCCCTAATAAAATGATTTAAAAAACTTTAAATGTAGCCCTTCTTGTGGTGACAGCTCACTGCAATTTTATTTTGTACTTTCATGATGGCCAGTGGTGTTGAACATCTTTTTTTTTTAAGAATGTCTCATTAGCTTTCATATATATCTTCTCTATAAGGTGTTTATTAAACTATTTTACTCATCAAAAAAACAGTCATCTGCTTTTATTAATTAGATTTTGGGGTTCTTAATGTATTCTGAGTACAAGTCTTTTGAGTGTTTATATACATATACATATATTGTTTTACATACTGTGTGTGTGTGTGTATTTCCCCACCTCTCCACCCCCAGATTTTTGGCTTTTCATTTCTTTTCCAAATTATGCTAATTGAATAACGGAAATTTTTCCATGTTTGTAAGAGTTTATGTATCCTTTTTCTCTTATATTTCATTCACTCTTGCCTACCTCAAGATTCAAACTTTTATCCCATGTTTTCTTCTAGAAGTTTTATAGCTTTTGTTTTTAAAGTTTAGGTTCATGATCCATTTTGAGTTAATTTTTGTGAGGTAAGGATCAAGTTTCACTTCTTGCACTATGGATATCCTAAAAATCATAATGCACACATCTTCCCAATCTATTCTTCCTTTCCAAAATTATTTTGGCTCTCTCTATCCTTTGTATTTCCACATAAATTTTAGAACCAATGTGTCAATTTCTCTAAAAATGTATGTTTGGATTACGGGGATAGCATTAAATCTATACGACAATATAGCCATACTTGATATCTAAATAACATTAAATCTTTCAAACCATAAGTATGTGTTGCATAGACTTTGTTAAAATTACCCCCAGTACTTCCTATTCTGCTGATGCCATGATAACTCATATTTCGACTTCCATTTCCAATGTATGGTGTGTATACAGAGCTAGAAGGAGCCTGGTGGTGAAGTGCTTGGTGCTAATGGAAAGCTCGAGAGGTCAGTGGTTCAAGCCCATCAGCCCCTCTGCAGGAGAAAGATGTGCCAGTCTAAGACCCTACTCTGTAAGGGCAGCTTTATGTTGTCCTACGGGTAGCAATGAGTCAGAACTGACGCAATGGCAGTAGGGTATTTTGCTTTGTCCTTTAATATATAGAAATACAACTGCTGTTTTGCTTAGGGACTCTGACCCTGTTAGTTCTAGGTGTTGCTAGGTGCTGTCGAGCTGGTCTGACTCGCAGTCACCCTGTGTGCAACAGAACGAAGCACGGCCCGTCCTGGGCCAGCCCCACAACGTTGCTATGTGTGAGCCCATGGCTGCTGCCACAGTGGCAATCCACCTCATTCAGGGCCTTCCCCTTCCTCGCTGCCCTCCACTCCAGGTGATTTAACTTCTTTCGAACTTTTAGCGCACATCACAAGGTCATCCGTGGCCGTTGGTGCTGTTGTCAGATGTTGCTGGATGTTTGTGGGGGTAGCCAGCCCCCCACAACAAATCACCGGTTCAGTAAGCGCAATTGTACGGTTGAGGTACATAAAGATTATAATAAAGCCATAGAGAGGAAGAGCAATAGGAGAGAGAGTAAAATAAAGAAGTCAGACACATTCCATGGTAGCATGCTTACCTCAGCTCCTCTTGGTGGTACAGGGCAGGAGAGAGCGAGCGAGCGAGCGAGCGAGAGAGAGAGAGAGAGAGAGAGAGAGAGAGAGAGAGTTTATTACCAAGGCTTATAT